GATATAGGGTTGTCTGCAAAAAATTCGGTCCTAATACGGGTTTGCGAATTTTAAAAATTAAAATTTTAACGCGTGGGAAAGTGAGTGACAGAGAGATCCGAGGAAAGTATTTTTATAACAGGTAATATGGTAACCTATAAAATCGAGCGCTGCTTTAGTAAGCTCAACTTCATGATATTTAAAGTTTTTGTTTTTACGAAAAGCTAGCTGCAACGAACAATTTTTAAAAGTTTCAACAGTAAAATCATTTAAAGAATCGTCCGAACCACACAAAAAACACTTTTTAGCCATTTTTTATCACAACAATACAGAATAACATACTCCAAAATAACGTGCTCTGTTTACTATACCTCCACCCTCCATATTTTACATTCCGAGCATGCGCACTTTCATATATTCAGGGTCCGATCAGATGCGACTGCAATGTTGGGTCCTTTACTATTACACGGTATACTTTCCTCGGATCTCTCTGTCACTCACTTTCCCACGCGTTAAAATTTTAATTTTTAAAATTCGCAAACCCGTATTAGGACCGAATTTTTTGCAGACAACCCTATATCAATGTGTTCGTAATGAAACAGCGCTTATGTTGATATATTTTTTTTTATTATCAAATCAAGTGAAATTAACTGGCATCGATATACCTGTTTATACCTGACAACCCAGTAGTTCGTCCAGGTAAATAATAGACAACCCAACGTCTGCACATTCTATATGTTTTATACTTTAAGTCAGAATTAAATTTTTCTTATTATCTTGATGTTGCAACATTTAATAAAAAAATATTTTTTAAAAAATAATTAAAAATATTCTGTCCAGGATTTTTTTAGCCAACCCATTTTTAATATATTTTCTAATATACTAAATTAATTATATAATAAGTTTTATTCCATTATCAACCCGGTGAAGGTCGATTTAGGTTCGGATCGTAGACTAAATATTTAGGTGATATCTGTTGAAAAGCGTAGGATTTTGTTTTATTAAAAAAGGAAAACTACTTATCCTATTTCGATAAAAACATATATTGCCGTACCATATATAACATATAACCTGCACCTTTTCGATTTTGAAGTCGGTTAAAAATAGACTGCGTTATTAATTAAGCCATAGTCATACTGAATGTTTTTATTTATGTATTAACTATGAGTTGTATTTTTTTTAATTATACTAAAAGTTAGCAAGTAAATAAAAGAGAATTTGATATTCACAATGCCACTTTTTTATATTAAGGTTACGAGTATTTTAATACTAGAGGTTTCTTGCGATTTCGCCCGCATAAGAAGTCAAATAGTGTCGTAGTTCAGTACGAGCAATGAAACAAATCTATTCTTTTTATAATATTAATACAGCTTATTATGAATTCTTACATTTGAAAAAAAAAATGTGTTTTTCATCCAGAATATTGTAACCTTAGGAGAGTCTAACAAAGGAATTACGCTATCATATTATTGAAGGAGTAAGTAGCTATCAGTTTTGAATCACAATGTTAAAAAATTTGATAACTCTCCTTTTTTCGACGCGTTTATTGTGGCATGGTTTAAAATTATCAATTATCACAAAATTTTACCCTTAATCATCTGAATGTATAATTCCAGCTAACTCTATTGGTATATTTATGATATACAATAAAACAAGATACTAATCTTATTGTGCGTGGTTAGAGATCACGAGGTGTCGTGAACTATAATTCATTATGCAAATGCTAAATCTATTATATAGCATAAAACATAGTCTCTTCCCGCCGTCTGTACGTTGCGAGCTTTTATACTATACAATCAACTGCACGTCAGAATATACAAAACTGTCAATCATATCCCCACTCGAGTTTTAACGTTAATATATTGGGGGAAGACGTCAAAATCCATTGCATTTTGACATATTGCGGTAACCTTATGTGCAGCCGTGTTTACAAAGCGATTCAACTTAGGTTTATTTATATGTGATACTGGACAGACGAAGCCGCTGATGGAAAGCTATATATTTATGGATATTAGGGTAACATCGCGTATAAATTTAATCAAATTTTACAACAGAAAAACAAGAGCTATTTATCGGATGGATGAGCAGTTAACTATATTACGCTTCTCCGTGCTTCGGACAGGCTAAGCCGTCGGTCTGCATCTGCAGTTGTTAACAGCCATCAAACTACACTGAGCCCGCGTGATGGGTTTTGCCCCATTTTTTTTCCCTTTGTAATTTAATCCAACCCCAGCGTAAGGACATTTTGAGATTAATGTTAAAACGATCTGACTAAGTGAAGCTCGATGGCGTAGTGGTTAACGTGCTCGGTCTGCGGTAAGGTTGTTAAGGAACTTTCACAATGGCAGGTGACCAAAAATTTATTCTCTCGACCTCGTCCATACTTCGGAAGGCACGTTAAGTCGTTAGTGCCGGCTGCATCTGCGTTTGTTAATACCCATGAATACTCATTGGGCCTGCATGGTTACCTTTCTCCGTATGCGATTTCATTCGATTCCATCAATAGGGAAGGCCTGAGCCCCAGCTGTGAGGACATTAATAGTCTGGTGATGAATGATGATGATCTTTAGCAGACAGTGTACCAATGACATAAAATTAGTTATTTTTATCAGGGTTCCGCTTTTATTTTATAATATTCGGGGTCATAAAACCGAATGTCGTAGAATGGCTTAAGTGACTTACGAAGCACGAAGCAGCTTGAGGTAATATATTTTTGGTTACCCATTCTATGACCGGTATTCGCGAATGTTGCTTAACTTCCGCATCGCAGATTGAATGATCTAAGCACCTCGACATCGAACAGAACCGCGTGTACCTAATAGCATGTAATAAATGTTTCTATTGGTACATCCATAGTCCCGCTATTTTGAAAATTTTTAAAAATACATAATATCAGACCGGTTATGACAGCCAAGAATTATTATCAAATGACTTAGCTTAATTTAATATCCTTAGTTAAATGAATCTTAAATTATGAAGAGGACATTGTACTTAAACTGGTTTAAAGACATTTAAGAAACTTGATCAACACATCACCCCTAACCAATAACAATAAAATGAAAACTGATATATATGTTAAGCGTATAATTTTAATATTTATGAATAAATTTTAATTTTATACGTTTTAAACGAATCACGAATTGTCTTTATTCCAGTCATAAATATTCTTCGTAAAGACTGTCCCTATCTGTGAATGAGTAGGACTATAAATAGATAAAGATAATGAGATAGATAATAACAGAGGATGGCGAATAGAGCGTCAATTTTTTTAAATTAATTATTTGAAAACCAATATTAAGTAATACTTATTGTGAAAGTGCAACATAGAGTTGTCGGCTACTTAATAACTTACGTATTTATCAATTTTCCTTATAATAAAGGGTATATTTACACAATCGACAAAATGGTCAATTTTACCGACAAAATGGTCAATTTTACCAAAAAATTTGTAATTTTTTGTAATACAAAAGAGTATCCTGAATTATTACCAATAATCATTAACTTTCAACTAGATATAGCGTACAATTAATCTGCAATGAATAAATAGGAAAATATGAACACATAGGTACAGCAGCGGTTTCTACCTGTGCAAAAGATGTTTTTCTGATTACACTACATATATCATTAGAAAAAAAATTGATGCATTAATTAGAGGATAAAATGTGTGTCCACCTAAAGGTTATGTAATAGCTACAACTTTGCAAAAATAGAACCGACTCCAAACTTTAAAAAAGTGGTGACTAATACTCATCTAAAAAGCGATTTATTCTAGAAATAGCTGTTGAAGTCTGTCGGAGGTCTTTTATAGGTTTCTTAATTAAATGATATGCGCTCAACTTTAATAGCATTTTTTTGTATAAGTCGCTTTTGAGATAAGTATTATTTATTCATAATGAAAAATGCTTAAAAATATCCTTTGTCCCTGGTACTCTGAGATGCGAAATTGCGAAAAGTCGTGGGTTCGAATCCCATCTCAGAGTACCAGGGACAAAGTGGATTTTTTATTTCATTTCATTAAAAATATTTTCCGGTGCACAATGCTATATTGTGAATACAAAATTGATCAAATATAATAATAAGTTTTGGATTTTGAATGAATACAAAATACGCAAACTTCAAAATTGAAAAGGAGGAGGTTATATGTTTGACGGCGATGTGTGTTCGGCACTTATATTTATGTCAATTATTGACAGATTTTCAAAATTTCTTATTCGACAGCTTGATGGATCAAGGTGGTCCCATTAAAATTTTATCGAAACTGAATAAGTAGTTTTTAGCAATTCCTTTTATAACAAAATAAAATACGCTTTCCAACAGATATCACCTAAATATTAAGATATGTTATTCCCAGACCCATTTCAGCTAAAAAATAAAAGATTGCGTATTTAGAATTCATTCAAAACCTGAAAGATATATTTCTATGTATGTAAACTTTTATGTATATTTATTTATGAAAGTCATAGACAGTAGGTATAAATGTGTAAAGTATATATATAGTGGTAGGTATGTTCATTGATTTCTTCTTGAATTGTGAACCAAATTCTATCAAACCAGCAGTTTCTCCGCGACTATGCCTGTGTGAATTATTGCCTATCTCCGCCGTGTATCACAGTGCGTCCGCAGTAACTTCTCGTAAACAAAAGACTTTTATAATCGGTTCAATAGTTTTGGGGCCTATCAATACAAAAAAACAAGCAATCAAATCTTTCCTCTTTAAAATATAATATATATCAATATAGAATATCGAAAAAAATATGACGAGCAAATAAACCTTAGGTGAAATTATCCCCTACAAACAAATAAAGTTAGAAATTATCTTTATAATAATATAGTATGTATAGATTGTTGTAGTGTCAAAAGCATAGATCAAAATTCTTGCGTTATGTGCAATCCGTTGACGCATAGAGTTGCGCAAATTACAACGTAACTTCTTATGCAGGCTACCATTGTACTGCATCACGCCATGCATCTTGATCGTGGGAAACCAGAACCTAAATATTGATGTATAGCTCTTTGTTGTAATGGTTAGTAAGGCTGCTGATGGCAGCGCATGTAAAGATAACGCACAAAACTATTATAAATCACACAAAAATTTAAATAGTACAACATGGCATTTTTACCTGTGACAAACTAGTTGTTTTTTTGCAACTTCGGCCCCATTGATTGTAGAATATCATCCACATATGATGTAGCTTTTAAATATATATTTTTTTTAAATCGGTTCAGTGTGTCGGAGCTTATTCTATAAAATCTCTTTATACTATAAAGAGTTTTTATTGTATAGTTAACTAACATTGTAATCTGGGTAAAGCTTTTTCTACCATATTCTATGATGGTACAACTACCACCTTCTAAGTTCTCTGCTGTTAATTAAACAGTCTCCAACTCTTTGTTTAACGCTTCGCGGTGACGGGATAAACGTTAAATGAAATACAACCCACTTGAAAAGATAATTAAGGTTTTTTTATTAAATCTCCATGGCCCGATCTAAAGGGGGCAAGTCAGGTAAACGCCCAGAGATATTTGTGACGACAAATGAGGAACGATTAACGAATCCTTCAGTTTTCTCTCTAAAAAGGAAAAAACTAATTTCTCCTCGTAATGGTAATATGCAACTTAAAGTCTCTGCTACTGTGCTATGTTTAACTGTATTATTTTACCAGGAAATAGCTAAAAGCTCACTTGTTTTATGAAATAAGTGATCTTACGGGTAAAACTCCTAATAGGCATTGCAACAAAACTGTTCTATACAGGGTTAGTGATAACTGACAACACGCAGCTAAAGTTTGGTGATGAATTTATTTTATCATTGTAAATCCTTCGCTCTTAAGAATTAGTTGCTGTAGATAAAAAAAGCGAGTTACTCTTTTTTCAATGCCACCATTGTAGTTTTTGGATTCAGTTTTGGTTTTCCAAGGGGCGTATTAATAACTAACCATAAAAAATAAATCAATGGGTCAGTCAGCAAGATAATTTAGTAAATTAAAAGGTCGCGATTTGGGTGAAATAGTTCGTCAATACATTACCGCGTACATTATTGTAAAAGCTCCCAATACAATCCTCGCGTGCAAAGTAAGCCATTATCAATTCTCCTTATACAAAAAGAGTTTGATTGCGAGAGGAATTGACCGAAATAGTGAACCATGTGATGTAGTTTTCTCATTTTTAATTAGATACAGCTTAGTTCAGTTTTATTTTTTGACGAAAATTAAGCGGCGTTTTTTAATGTTTACAGATAGCTACAGCCGCATGAAGAGAATTCACAATGAAAGCTTTTATAAAGCAGGTAAGTGTTACCTATCATATCATCATTATTATGGCCTATTAATACCCCCACTGTAGATCTATGGAATGCAATCGAATATTGAGAGCGGACCATAATCCGTCACGCAGCCCTAATGGGGATTGGTAGATGTTACTGACCAAACAGCTTAACTTATGCCTTTTAAAGCACGGAAAAAATAATACAATTTTCGGTCACCCATCGATAAAAACTGCGTCGTCAAGTTAAATATACCTATTTTTTTTTTATTATTGCTATCAACCGCAATCAACAGAGAACAGACGTGACGCATAAATGATTCAGCACAAACGTGCTTCATTTGGAGCTTTATTGAAGCGATCAGTAAATGATTATAAGTACCAAACATTTATAAAAACATTGACTAGATCAAATTATATGATCGCCAATTTCAGAGTCAAGGGCAGACAATGTTGGCTAATAGTTTTTGTCAATAAATTTTTGTGATAGCCCATGTTAAGTTAAAGAAAAAATTTGTTCGCGTTAAAATATATTGTATAATGAATTGAATATCATCAATCTAATTTTGAAAATTATATCTCTGTAAAGTTTAATATTCTGATGTCATTGTAGTTAGAGAAAAGTAACACCTCAGATTACATTAACACTAGTTTATTGCATTAAATTTTTACTAGGCGTCAGCAAAAGGGTATTTGACAACATTAAAAATACATTAAAAATTGTAGTAATTGATAATAGCTTAATAATAACACATATTTCCAGTGGTGTATCTATAGTAACCCTTTCAGGCCTGTGATAAATACTAAATTTATTGAAATAATAATACTCGTAAAGTTTAACCAGCATCATCACCTTTTTCTGACACCTGATGGTAATTAAAACAAGAATCATTATAAATTTTAATAATAGTTAATTCTGCTTTACGTAAACGGATTTCCATCGTGCGTTCAATACTTAGTTGGAACTTCTTGAACTTGTGGCCATTTAATAAAGCACGATTTCAAAAAATAACTCTCGCCTGAATATCTTCTCGGGTAATTTCAGGCTTTCGTGGTCAGCGGCGCTGCTCTGAACATAGCTGGTCATGGATGCGCGCACGGCTATCCTGCAGTTCTTTTCGCTCAATTAAAGGCTTCTGGGGATCTGGTGCTCACAGATCATGACACATCATGGATAGGTAAATACTTAGTATATTTAATTCCTTAAAACAAAAATATAAGAATTATTATTTAAAGAATACCTCATTCATATATTTTGAGCAAATATTTGTTATTTCGTATTGTAATAAATACGTAACACTGGTCGATCTCAATGGACGTGGAAGGAGTAGCGTTATTTAAAGGAAAATAACCTCTCAAATTATTTTTCAGCGTCAGCAGTAGGTGCCATGGGAATTGTCGGAAATTTTATATCTCCAGTGCTGATGACAAAATTTGGCCGACAGAAAGCCCACCTTTTCACAACCGTCCCAGCTCTTTTGGGATGGATTATATTCGTCATGGGTAACTCTGTTCCACTGTTTCTCATAGCGAGACTTCTACATGGGCTAGCATTAGGATTGAGGACACCGTTAGCTGCTATATTAGTAGCCGAATACACAGATCCAAAGTATAGAGGTGCGTTTTTAGGAACATTCGCCATATCATTAGGATTAGGCATATTTTTGTCACATCTTTGGGGAGCTCAATTAACGTGGAAGATGACAGCGGGAGTTTGCGCTATATTCCCATTAGTTTCAATGGCTATTATAAGCCTTTCGCCAGAATCACCGTGCTGGTTGATATCGAAAGGCAAATTCGAAGAGGCCAAGAAAGCCTTCCGTTGGGTGAGAGGAGAAGGAGCTGAACAACAAGAAGAATTAGATGCAATGATCAATTCCCAAAAGGAGGAGATAAATATTGAGAAACAAAGAAATGATGTTAATAGATTCACTTGTAACGGAATGTTCCGGAATATGATCAACAGTATCAAAGATGCTCTAAGAATATTCAAGAAGAAGGAATTCTATAAACCTGCTATCATAGCTATTAGTATGCTGATTGTCTTCGAGTTCGGAGGTGCGCACATGTTCGCTGCGTATGGCAATACGATCCTCCAAGCAGTGTTAAACAAAGACGAGGTAAAGGACGTAGCTTGGCAGTTCACCGTCATAGATTTATTGAGGACTGTATGTGCGTTCTTTGCTATATTCTTGCTCAAGTACTTCAAGAGACGGATTATTTTATTCACAAGTGGTGTATTGACTATATTATCATTATCGTCTATATCAATTTTCATTTACTTGAGGGACTACGAAGTGTTTACAGCATCGAATATATTAGATACGGTTCCAATGTGTTTAATGGTGATATACACTTTAGTTTTCTGCTTAGGTTTAGTTCCACTAAATTGGGTGATTTGCGGAGAAGTGTTTCCCTTAGCGTACAGAAGTGTTGGATCAACCTTGTCTACATCATTTCTAACTCCCGCTTTTGTAGTGTCTATGAAGACAGCACCTCATTTATATTCGTCGATAGGAGTGCAAGGTGCATTTTTAGTATATTCTGCTGTTCTTACAGTATTTCTTGCTGTAATATACGCTTTGTTGCCTGAAACTAAAGACAGAACATTGCAAGATATAGAAGATGATTTTAAGGGCAAGAAGAAGGCGGATACGGAAGTACAAATGACGCTGCTCAACAAAGACGATATCGTTGTGGTAAACTAAGTAATTGGATAAAGAATCAAAATTTTCGAGTTTAAGGATTTTGTATATTAAATAGTTATAAAAATAAAGATCTGTGATATATTACAGGTGATCAATTAAAACTTGAAATTAAGAATAAGATTAGATTTGTTGACTAACAAAGCGTAGTGTTTTCAATATCAAATACAATCGTGTGTATACGAATTAAATTAGTAAAGTTGGGACAAACGATCAAGTGTACTTCAATGAAGTTTCAAATTTATATGTTACAGTTTTATTAAAGCTATTTCAATATCTATGTTTAATTATAACAGTAAAGAATAAATGTTTTGTTGATTAAGTCCGACTTGTTTTACCTGTCCCAAAAACAATATTACTTATACATATTTAAACAAATATTTATATAATTACACAATATTGATGGCGTAATATAGTTTTCTGTTAATGTTTTTTTTTGGTTGTAATAGTGAAGGTTGATTGTGGTCCTACTCGATCATGTATCTCATGACAACAAAAAGAGGCTTAACTTTAAGAGAATCGATTTATTTTGTATCTCTCTTTAATTTTAGCCAAGTCACTTGAGGTGTATTAACCCTCGAAGATACGTTCTAAGGGCATACTCTGTTATTCACGAATAAAAATTGGGAAAATTTCGAATCATTTAAATAATTTTGTCCGCCGAGTTCCACACACCCCCTGAGGGCGCTTGTGCACTACACTGAATTTTCAGGTCCGGCGGTCCGATTTTTTCAGGTCCGATATGTCAGGCCATATGTAGGTAATACGCGCTTGTGCACTGTCAGGAATTTTACCGTCCGGAATTTTACTTTTCTCTATTCCGGACCGATTTTTTCAGGTCCGTGATGGCGGCAATGAAAAACGTGTTTACGCTTGTGCACTGCTGTGTCCGAGATCCGGAAAATTCATAAGAAATAGGCTTGGGACAAAATAATCGATTTGAATCAATATTTATTTCGGCAATATTGTTAATTTTCAATAAACTTATAATCGATATTTATTGTTGATTATAAAATGCTATGTTTTATATGATGATTTAATATAGTTGGTATATATCAGTGCATATGCTTTGGCAAACTCGGTATAGGTCTAATTTGATCAGCGTATGGTTCTAGAATCGATACTTAGCTAGATTTTAGAATCGTATTAAAAGTATCAATAGTTTAAGGTAAGATAAATAAGTGTTGTTACGCTTAGACGCCTAAACAACTGAACCCATCTAAATAGAAATTAATATAGTAAATAGTCTTAACTTTAAGAAAGATCATAGGCTTACATTTTATCGCGAAAAATAGGGGATGAAAGTTTGCCTGGAAATTTGTCATTATCAAATTTTTTTTAGACAATTGATAAGTATAGACAAATATTTGACAACAGAAGTAATAATAAAGAATAAACAGAAGATTAACAAAAGTAATTAAGTGACACTCAATGTCTTTTTCACATTTAATAAAATTTTAAATGTATATTTGTGTCATTAATAAAATATTAAAAAAATATTAAATAATAAAAAATATTAAAAAAAACGAAGTATTCTAAAGGAATAATATTTCTGCTCAAAGAAACTTCACCTCGCGTATAAAATTATGCCTATATATAATACAGTCAACTGATCTCGTCAAGTTCGTTTAGCATAATAAATCTCGGCTTACACGGCACTAATTTCGATTTGTTTACGAAATGGCGCCACCCATTGGTCTATCTCTGTAATCGCTGAAAGTTGTCTTTACACAACTTCGAAAAAAAATAGCACGTTTAAAAATTTGAATATCAAGTACTAGACCATTATCAGTCATTTTATTTTAATGTCACAGATATTTTTAGCTATTGTATGTGAATAATGCTGTTCCTAAATTAGTAAGGGTATAAGTTTTTACATCTGATAGTAGTAAAAAAAATGCTTTTCTTGCCATAATTTATTATAGTTTATGTAAAATGATCAGGTAATTAATTAAGTATTCTACGTCTTTGAACGCAATTACCGACGTTCCAAAAATCTTATTGTACTTAGCGTAAGTGACGTGTAGCTTCAAAGAGAGCTGCCCTACACTGCGCCGCTCCGATCAGGAAAAAAACGGACAAGTGCACAAGCTACTCATCCGGGTTTTTCATGTCATTCCGGACCGGAAAAAATCGGACCGCCGGATCTGAAAATTCAGTGTAGTGCACAAGCGCCCTGACGCTGCCAGGTGACAGGGATAGTGCCTTAAGCATTTTCCCTGGATAAAAAATGTATGATTAACCCGTGATCGCAATCCAATGATGTAGGTTGACTGGTTATAGATCACATCAAAGATAATAAGATGATTTACATTACAACTAGGCAATTAAATAAAAAGGCAATAATACATACAATCAAATTAATTTAATTTATGTGTCGTATCTTATCAAAATAAAACTTCAATACTGGGTCAGAATATTCATAGAAAGTATTCATCAAGTAATTTAAAGAATCACAACTATTTATTCTTATAACTACGGAACGTGCACGAGTCTGTATTAAAATACGACAAAAAAGAATTGTTTTTTTTATTATTATCATAAATAAAATTCTAGTAGTAGTAATGCTCGCTAGTAATACGAGGGTCAAACTGAAAGTTCTTAGAACTGGCCACTTATAAACAATATAATAAAAAAATAATTCTAAAATTTGAAAATATAACTCTTTGCCAATATTACTGAGTATATATTTCATTCATTTGTCATTTGTTTTACGATTTGGCGGCAAATTGAAAATTGTCTGTGTCACGTCATCATGAATTTAACACGAGAAAATTTTCGTGCAATGATTTTTTATGACTTTCGATGTCATTTAAGTCAACAAGAAAGTTATGATAGACTACGATTGGCCTTTCACGATGAAGCCCCATCTCGTGCGACTGTTTACAACTGGTTTAATGAGTTTAAACGTGGTCGCACTAATCTCACTGATGATTTACGTGAGGGACGGCCTTCTACGGCGACGACTGAAGATAACATCTGTGTTGTGCGGCGTATGATAGAGACTGACAAAAGAGTGACCTATCAACAGATTCGGACAAGCTTAGGCATCGGTATGAGTCAAGTGCACAAAATCCTCCACGAACATTTAGCGGTCAGGAAGCTTTGCGCCCGGTGGATACCTCATAATTTGACTGAGGCTCAAAAACTCCATCGTGTGGATTGGTGTCGTAAAATGATTGAAAGATTTAACGGAGGTGACTCAAATGCTGTGTTCGACATACTAACAGGTGACGAAAGCTGGATTTACTCTTATGATCCTAAAACCAAAAGACAATCTGCTCAGTGGGTGTTTCCTTTCGAGGAGTTGCCAACTAAAGTGAAGAGAGATCGAAGTGCGGGAAAAAAAATGGTGGCCTCGTTCTTTGGAAGGATAGGTCATTTTGCAACAATTGTGTTAGAGGATCAAAAAACAGTTTCTGCAGAATGGTACACTACCAATTGTTTGCCACTTGTCTTGGAAAAAGTTCGAGAGAAACGACCTCGCAGTAGGATCCTCCTTCACCACGACAACGCCTCGTCGCACACCGCCAAGCGAACGATCGACTATTTGGCGACATCAAACGTTGAATTACTGGGTCACCCGCCGTATAGCCCCGACCTCGCGCCTTGTGATTTTTATTTATTTCCAAAAATTAAAGAAAAACTTAAAGGAAAGCGGTTTATGAATGCTGAAGAAGCGGTGGCTGCGTATCGCGATGCCATTGAAGAGACCCCTAAGGACGAGTGGGCAAAGTGCTTTTCCCAGTGGTTCCATCGCATGCAGCGGTGTATTGACGTGAATGGACAATATTTTGAAAAGATATAATAAAACTAATAACTGGCTAATGTAATCAGTTTTTGATTTTCTAAGAACTTTCAGTTTGACCCTCGTAATATTAACTGGTATTTTTAGAACCGTCCTCTGGAATTCTGCTTGATAGTCAGTCTTAAAATTTACCGCGACGTTCCATTATAATGTTCTTTGGTAAATATTTAATACTATATTATTACCATATGTGAAAACTTTTAAATGGCCTTCAGCATATATTGTATTGATATATCCTTAAACACAGCTGTAAGTTTTCTTTAAAATAAATAAAATAAATACTAAATACAAAATATAAAGTTGATGGCAGATCGGTCCGACCCGAAGCAGGCGCACGATAAAAAATACGTATTTCTTTACAACTTGTTAATGAATGACAAGTTATATTCTAGGGAGAGCTCTTGACAAAAATGCGCAAGACCTTTCTAAATATTTCAGTATGCTGAAGTACTAAGTGTGTATATCACTCAGTATGGGGCCGTCCATTAATTGTTTTTTCAAAATTTTCATTTTATGGGTTTGGATTTTATAGAATCGCAGTGCTGGTGTGCGATCGCTTAACTCTCTAGTCATGATTCTAGCCATAGAGCCCATAGTACTTGAACATATTGAAATAACAAGCTTTACAAATCTCTTGCACATTTTTGTCACGTAGGTCTGACAATTTGGCTTGTACTGGTGTACGAAGGTTTGTATGTTTAACTTCTTTCTTTCGCCTCCTTCGGTGCTTCCATTATAATTGATGGCGATTAGCTTAACACATCATAATTGAATAAAATAGTAAGCATATAATACAACAACAATAATATTGTATAATAGTAACACTTTCTTGAAGCAAATTACTTTATTTGTAAGCAAAAATGTTTATACAAGAACATTTATCACAGTTACCAAATTAAGTGTCTAAAGCACTTGTATTATGAAAATATGAAACAACAAAGGTATCCCAATATAGATAAAACAAAATTTAAAAATACATGAAAAAATTAACTAAAATAAAAACTAAAAAGTAAAAAACATGCCCAGTAGTTCAGAATTCTGTTAAGTAATACTAAAAAACTTCACAATTGAAATAGTTTTATAATCGATACACACTTAAAACAAATAATAAATTCTAATGCAGATCAGAACGACTCATAGTCGGGGCTCCTTGGGAAGATTTGATTGGTAAAATTTGAATGGGCCCCGACAGTGAGTCGTTCTGTTCTGCATTAGAATTTATTATTTGTTTTATGTGTGTATCGATTATAAAACTATTTCAATTGTGTAATTATTTAGTATTATATATATTTAGCAGTCGGGTTTTTTTGTTTTTCTTTAAATTATTTATTTTTATTTTATACTTTTTAGTTACGATTCGTTGACTTCGTTATAAGATGGTAAATTTCTCAATCTAGTCATTTCATTGAGGGAGTTAATATCGTGGGCATTATTAAGTAACTTGCGGTGGTCTAAACTACTGATGAATAGTCCCTCTAGAGACCTAACTCGGCTCAAAGCTACATTGCTTTATTTTTTTACTAAAAATATTTGTTCTTCATGCTTTTTCACTGCTTTTTTTTTGTTTGTATATCGTTTATACTTTAAATAAAAACTTAAATCAATAAGTAAGAAAATTAGCGAATATGATTGTTTTGTTATATATCCAAAACTATTATTTAAAATGAAAAGTGATAAAAGGAACCTAAAGATGATTTTAAAATACCTATTTAACGACACCCCATTTGACATAGTTCGTCGATTTTTTTTTCCTTTTGGACAATATGGCGTCTGGTTGTCGCTGTGAATTTTGATTACTGTCATGTCTTTAGTGACACTCGCAAGGTTAAGACGAATCGATTGACGTAAGAATCATCAAAATCGGCCTACGCATTTGGTCTCTAGAACGCCACATAGAAACATACATACATACATAGACTGATAAACACATTACCCTCCTTTGCGTCGCGCAGTCGGGTAAAAAGTACATTTCCTACATTATATAAGCCGATGGCACTATATAAATCAACTGTACTTGTTTACCACAGTATTCTTAAACAAATATTATATATTATTCGAGGAAAGCAACTGATTATGAAACATATTTCCTAATATTGAACATTGAAATTTCTTCTTAAATTATTCCTAAAATGGGAAAATTTGTAAATTGACAATAATTCCAGGAAATTAGTGATCAGCTTATGGATTCCCCTGGTTTATTTCAAAGTGTATATAGTTTTTTATAATGATTTTATATGCAATTTGATTATTCCATTTTATATTTCTATATTTGGTAACTTTTATCTATATGTATTAAAACGATTAGTATAAATTAATAGGGAATATTACGCAAATCTCAGCGTGACTAGATGGCAGCACTAGCACATGTAGTACGAAATCAAGCTTTTTTGAACATTTTGTCTTTTAGTAATGAATTATTCTCTTCCTTCTTATACCCAAATATGCAGTAATGAATGAATGAAATAAGCTTTATTTTACACCAATACAGGACAAAACAATCGATTACAATTAAATTAAATGCACAATTGGCTGCCTTATTGATGATGTATTATTGGATAAAATTACACTTTATTCTTTCTTCACTCCTCTATGAATGACAATTGCTGCTTGTTTGATGTTTATAAAATTATGTTGTTATATGCTATCATATCAGTTGCATTAGAATGATAGTTAAAAAAAACAAGATACATTGTAGCAATCGCACAAAAAACTATCATTCTAGTTTACAAAATAGTTTAGTAGATATTCTAGTGCTGTTACAGTTACTAGATCCTATTATCTCTCAAGGATGCTTCAATTCAAGATTAGATATTACAATTTAAAATTATTCATTGAGGTATAGCATTCCAAATCTTTTTTATTTTATCTATGCTAAGATCAGGAGGTCCAAATATGAAGGGACCAACAGATTTTGGCCCTAATTTGGTCAATAAGCTTACACGGAGCTGGTTGAGTATCAGAGTTGATAGAGGTGTACGTGCTACTCCGATCTGTTGTGCACATGCCCCAGTTATATGAACATCATCAATCCAAAAGTAGGGAAGTCTTTGAGCTACAGTTAGCAGCTGTGGTACCACATCTCGAGAATACAGTATTGCCCAACCTGTGAAAAACAATAACAGTGTCAACATTGAAAAATAACTAATATTCATTCACCTAAAAAAAGGTTTATGTTCAGATAATTTAATTATGTTCTCTTATGACTGCAAGACACAAAGCCCATGGCTTGGCATCCATATGCCACCTGGTATGCAGTGCCAACAAAAAGTGCAGATTCCATGGACAAGCTGCCAGTTACTCTTCAGGGCCTACTTAATATTGCCCATACTTTGAGACATAGACTATATACTTATTACTGTCTTACTTCTAGTGATATTTCTTTTGCTATTAAACCTGCATTAAATATATACCTGCACAATATGTTGGGTAATAAGGTGCTGCATACTCAATAGGTGACACTCTCCATTTAGACCTTTGAGATCTCTGAACTTCAGCATGCTCCAACACCTGACAAGTTATCAATCCTTTCGCACCCCATGGTGACAACTCTTTAACCAAGAACCGTCTCAACTCATAAGAATTCACAACTATATCGTCATCAGTTTTCAAAACATATTTAGCATTGGGACAGCGATGAGCTACCCACTTCAAGCCCATTACGTGTTTATATGTCATGTTTCTATAAGCATCTGCAAAGTTTCCTTGCACAACATCGCCATACACTAAGCTCTCATTTTGAATTTTTTGACTAATTGATTCATTGTAAGGGTCACCTAGGAGAAATACAACTTTTGTTGAATCAACTGAACGACCCCATGTGTTACGAATAACCATTCTGTTTTTATAATTTGAAGGTTTTGAAGATACTATGATAACCAACAATAGACCTGCTGGATATTCCATGCAAGGGTGAGGGTTTGTCTTGAAGGTGAAGTTCTTTATATCAATTAATTGATCATACACATCATCCAATAAGTACTCCGAAGTGTTATAAGGTCCAAGAAGTGAAAACTTGGGATTTTTCACGCGGACTACAACAGGTGCTTTAGTATTGTAGTAATCATAAAGGAACATCAATCCGACTATACAAATCAATAATTTATGTAAGGTTAACATATCGGGTTTGTCTCGTTGATACTCGGTCATAGTAGTTTCCTTTAAAAATAATAATCTGACATTTAAAACTTTCCAAACCGCATTGATATCTTTAACTTTCAATGCGTATTATTCCAAGATAAAATTTGATTTAAAATCAATGGAAGCTGAACTAATATTTACGAACTCCTATCGAGACAAATATTATCACAGCATATTTTATTCAATGCAAAAATGCAAAAATTTATTTGTATTTATGTAAACCATATGTAAACACTTGACATCTGTTCTGTCACTGTCAGCGTCATATTACTGTTGTTGTTTTATTAGAAAAAGGCAGAGATTTATAACATTAGTCGGTCCATATAGTTATGTCCATATGTAGTTTAAAATTATTTCCCTATCTTATATATTCCATTAAATAAAACATCGTTTTGTAATTTATTTGTTCTTACTTTAATGCAACTTATTCACTTTTAAACTATCGCGTTGCATTATCAAATAAGTGTATAATCTATGTCAAATATTTATAATATCGGTATTATACTTTAATACCGATATTATAAATATTTGACCAACAATGAGGAAGCATTATAAAGCACTAATAAAGCACCTCCACTAGATTCGCCATCTAGTGGAGGTGCTTTTTTAGTGCTTCAAAAGTTGAAGATATAAATACGAAAAAGTACAAATAGAATATGAGTTCTTATTGAGTTTTGAAAATTTACATTAATACATGAAAGAAAACCGGAAGGTATGTCATTTAGAATTCAAGAAAGTACCGTAGCGATATCTTGCTTGATTTCGGGAGCTAATATTTTTTTTTTAATACTTCCTCATTACATCATCAAGGAGAAATTATAATGTCAAATTATTTAACTTTTACCTTCGATCAACAATACAAAAGTTTTGCGAACCAAAATTCTTGGTATCGACGATATCTATGCCCGGAATTGTATGTGTATCAGTACAGCGCTACATTAGCTTTGTCTTACTCTGGTGTTTATGTGTATCTGTGCTCCGGTTGTATGGCAACTGATACGTAGCGACATCTAACACAATACACTAACATTACCACAACATTTGATAGCAAGACGAACAGCAGCTAGCAAGCTCAATAACGAGATGGCACTGTACCTCTACAGACTGTGTAAAAACGATACTACAAGTCATATATAACAAAGATAATTTACATCGCCCTCAATAAGTTTCGTTACCAATTTGGATAAATACAACATCCAATCAGTATTAATCCGGACCGCGGTCCTAGGGTTAACAACTCCTAGTTCGGAGGGAGATGTATTTCGTGTCCCTTTAGTCTTCCGTCTCCATAATTCGCTACATATTTAGCCATATGGATTACTTTACTGTTCCTGCATTTTTCGCTCTTTGTTTCCAATCTCTGCAAACAAAAGATTGGATATCTCGAATTATTGATTCTCTTCTAACCAACAGGAAAACTTTTGTTTTACCCGTGTAATTTTGCCGATAATGTTCTTTACACAGTTATTTAAAAAAGTAGGTACAAATCAAGACGTTCAATAAATGAAGAGGGCTGGCACCTATTTACAACGTACCAACATACAAATGGGATATTGCCCGTATGACCCACGACGCGACGGGCGGTACTCCTAATACAGGCGTCAATATAGGTTCATCGCCACTTGAGCACGTCGCGTCTCGTCGGCCATTATTAGTTCATAAATAAGTAATAAAAGAGCTGTTAATTTTTTCAATAATTTATAATTGTTTAAATTTACGATGGTTGCGAAAAATATCCGCAAAAATACATAATGATCATTACGAGTATCAGATTATAAACCAACACACACTGGTGAGCTACAAGCTTTTCCTAACATAGAAAGAACGGGTCATACTTCGTTGCCATGGAGATCGCCGGCTAGAATGAACTGGAAATTTTGGAGCACTATATAGGCGAAATATTGGAACGAAGCCCATAAAAAATACCACAAAATAATAGACTAACATAAGGTACATCGGTGAAAGAGTGTTATTTTTTGCGAATAAGAAAAAAACTCTTTTGGTCAGTATCTTCCTATATATAGTGCCATAACTTTATATTTTTTAATACTGCTGATGTGGTTTTCTGATCAAAATTGAAAAGCTTGTAGCGTGTAAAAATATGTACATTTCCTCTTCTCCGATTTCATTAGCTCTACAAGCTTTTCAAGTCAATTACTTTTAGAAAAAAATTTAATTATAAGTACTTTAAATATTTATAATTTATTTATTTACGCTTTAGTGCGCACAAATAAAAGCTTGTTTTTAAAAAGCTTTTAAGTGTTCAAGTTACACACAAAGGGGATTATCAACTCTGTATAGGGCATTATTGCTGTGGCATATTCAAGAGCTGGCTTCGAGTTTAAATATACCCTGCATTGGCCACACTATATGTACATGATAACCTCATTATAAAATTAACATTATGTAGCCGTAGAAATATGTAAAAAATTAATTAGCACTGTGCCCTAGGTAGATATAAAAAAAATAAAAAAATGTAATAATGTAAATAGTCTTAAACTTATTTAAGGCTTGAAACATCTACGTTCATCCAAATACAGTGCAAGATCTATGATACCAGACGATTCTTAAAAGTTCTCATTATATATTAATAAAATTCGTCACTGAGTGAATTAATTGTAGTTTTAATTTTTTCATTGTTACAATATTAGTAGGATCTGCTTCTCCAATTTAAAGGCTCAATAATGTGTTAAAAATTGGGACATAAACAGTGGCCGATTTATCCTAAGGCCATAGTAGGCCCACCTGTAAGGCTCCCAGAAATTAGTGGCGGTCTAGTATAATAATGGCATAGACTATTGTGTAAATGATATGAGTATGGGAATAAAGTAGCTTTTGTTTTATATACACTTCTAATTATTTTTATGGAATAACTACTGTTATTATTATAGGCAGACTAGGCAAGGTTGTACTACACTGGCATATACCAACATATGTCAGTAATAAGAAATTATAATTACTTAATCTCATCATACAAAATCTAAATTATTGAATCTATTTCAATAAATATTGTCAAAAAAATATGTATATTCATTATGAAGTGCCTTAATTATGGGAGCTAAATAAGGGGCGGTTAGTCCACCAAATCCGCTTCTGGACGTACAGATACTTTCTTGTTTGTCTACAATAACTGTACATAAACAAGATATTGGTAGAATTACAAATTCAACTAAATAAATCATTTTGTTATACCTATAGTATAAAAATAAATTTTCATATGTATTCGTTTTTTGTTCCCAATATTTTTATTTTACTGAAACATCTTGTAATTGGGAGGCAGAACATAAAATACGTATTTCGAAAGCTATCGGGCACCTCTTGACGAAAACCCTTATCGTCACTTCAAAAGATTTCAAGTAGCTATGGTCTATTACTTTCCACATTTTATATTGCGCATGTCTCGTAAAACGGAACGCAATGGTCAAATGAGATGATTTTTGCGGTCCGGCATTACATTTCCCGCCTTTGACCGACATCTGTCAAAAGTTGGCGCGGTTTTTCGCGGATTACTCATAAAATTTCTGTTAAAGTAAATAAAATATTAACGTTATATAACAATAAATATAGTAGGTAATGACTTTAAAACAAATATTTAGTCTGTTAACGTCGTTATTGCCACATTGTGATAATTACATAAAAATGAATTAGTAAAAATAGATAGAATGTGTGTAAAATATTATGGAATAAAATTAAGAACTTATATTACATATTAAAAATAAAAATAGGTAGACTACATAGGACTTGATTAAAACAAAATGGCGGCGCAAAAACTATTATGGCTGACCACGGTGCTTCTACGTCTATGGTTGGGGGCGACGGATTTATGTTATGCCCAGTAAGTGTTCATTTAAAAATATAAATACGTATGTACATACATTATAATTATTAATTTAAAGCATTATTTTTGAAAGTTAATATAACTTTAGAACCCACTGAGGAGTTTTACCGAACTCGGGTGTATTTCTAGCCAAATAAATGTTGTAAAACATGTTTTATTTTTTCTAATTATATGCCAATGATATATTATTTAATGTTACTAAATGGAATGGAATAGAAAGGCCTAGTTTCTGTAAACTTCCCGCTTCGCGCTGTCTGTACGCTAAGATTTTTTAAACTAAGCAACGGATTTTAATGCGATTTTCATCGATATACAGAGTGATTCAAGAGGAAGGTTTGTATGTATAATACAAGAAGGTGCTGGCGGAAAATTAGTCTATTATAAATGGTAACGTTTTGTAGGGTCACAGATACTCATAAATTTGTTGGGTTTAAAAAATTATTAATGGCTAGATGTTTTCCCGCGAGTTTTTCGGTGTATGTTCTCGTAGGTATTTTTTTTTGGTCCTGTTGTTGCGAAGCCTGTTCAATACTTTTTTTTACTCTTTCTAGTATTTGTATAACTAGCTTAAAAGCCTCATTTTCTGCTTTACTGAGTAACTACCCGAACATCTAGTTTCGGTCTTTAAATGTCAACAGAATTAGTCGAATTTTAATTAGGTAGTGGACGTCAAAATTCAATGTATGGATTGTTGTGCAATATCATTGTGTCTAAAGACCAGCTTTAGTGCGGCCCCACGTTGGGCGCCAGAGAGATACTCATCTAGTTACGACAATGTCAAAGTTACTATATATTCTGAATACACACTAGTATTCATAAATTTAAGATATATAATCAAGTAAACGAAAAATATATTATGATAATTACGTTTAATTTAGACGAATACGGATTTTATGTTTTCTCAATAAAAAAAATTACATAGTTATTATATCTGCGTTAAATTTTCTTTGGAAAATACTGCCCGTTTACAAGCTATCTATATTTCTACTAAATAAAGAAATAGATAGAAAAAGAGAGTCTACCAAATAGAGAAAGAGAGATAGCGTAGATATCTGTTAAAAACTCGTAACACAATGCTGACATGTCCTAGGAATGTATAAGCATATGTGAGGCGGAATATATTCATCTTGCATTCAAATGTATGTTTGTCAATAACACCTTTTGTTTCCTCATGACATATGGGGTGTGGGATTTGCTGCCATTCATTTGGAAAGGGAATATAATTGTTTTGTTAAATGTTTTTGGACAATAAACTTTTTCATTTTTTTCTATATGGGTTTTTAGGATAAAGCTCTTGCGCCTTTGTTTTGACTTTGTTTTGTAATGTGTTCTGATACTATTTGCTATAAATTACCCACTCGCTTGCCCATTTACATGTTAGTGTTTGAGTTTTGTTAACCACTGTTTAACACGGGGCAAGCAATCGGGCTAACTTCAACACAAGCGCGACAATTACAACAATTATTACTTACAATTACAACCCGTTACGATTACACACTGTACAATCTTGCAAGCTAAATTTCACCCACTCCTCAGTCTCCGTTTGAGTTGAAATTTGAATATACATTTATTTCATCAGAATGTAATCAAACAATGCAATTATGTACAATCGGTATTATTATAAATTCAAAATGGCCGCGGTAACAAATAGGCAGCGTACATATTTTTGAATAACCACCCAATATGAGTATAATATGAAAGGGCTTAACTTGTAGAATCAAATATATCAAATATAAGCTTTTTAAAAATTAAATTACACTTGTTCTCTCCATACAAAATAAAATAGAAAAAATACTGTTTAAAAGTAAAAAAATGTGTTCTATTTACGTATTTATCAATAATAATTTAAGTATACAATAGTCTTCCAAAGAGCGTCGAATCTATAAAACTGCAGACGTGTTTAACGAGGGTGGATTGAAAAGTTCGCACCCTAACACATAAATACTTAAACGGTTGTCAAATTGTAAAATTCTATCGCAATAGCATTAACTGTATTTAAATTAGACTGAATTTTGTGAGCCGTTGTGCAGCATTTTTTAAAAATGGAGAAAATTGAGCAACGTGCGGTCATCAAATGCATGTTTAAAAAAAAACTACCTCCAAAAGAGATTCACGAAGATATGTCAACAACATTGGGGAAATCTGCTTCGCCGTATATGGCTGTAAAAAAGTGGGTTGCTGAATTTAAACGCGGACGAGAGAGTATTGAAGATGACCCTCGCTCTGGCCGGCCTATGGCGTCTACGACTGAAGAAAACATCGGGAAAATCTGTCTTCTTATATTGACAGATCGGAGATTGACCATCAGGGTGATTGCAGACACTATTGGCATCTCGTATGAACGAGCACAAAACATCATAGTCAATGAACTTGGATTTCCTAAGGTTTCTGTGCGGTGGGTACCCAAATTCCTTACAGTGGAACAAAAACGAATTCGCCTCACGATTTCTCGCAACTGTTTGGAATTGTTTGAGGCTGATCCACAAGATTTTTTATCCAGATTTGTAACAATGGCTGAAACTTGGGTACACCACTACACCCCAGAGTCAAAATAGCAATCCAAGCAGTGGAAAAAACGCGATGAACCGACTCCAAAAAAAGCCAAAATAATTTTGTCAGCTGGCAAGGTGATGGAGTCAGTTTTGTGGGATGCTAATGGCGTCATCATGGTGGACTACTTTGCAAAAGGTGAAACTATAAACTCTGCTTATTACTGCACCCTCTTACGTCACTTGCGCGAAACAATCAAAGAGAAAAGGCCAGGATTACTCAGCAAGAAACTGTTGTTCCATCAGGATAATACACGCGTTCACACGTCTGTTGAATCTATGGCTCAAATTCGTGATTGTGGCTTTGATTTACAGCCCCATCCCGCCTATTCCCCTGATTTGGCACCTTCAGACTTTCATTTATTCCTAAACCTAAAAAATCACCTTGGAGGTCAAAAATGGAGGTCTGTGGTGGGTGACTTTTTTGAAGGCCTTGAAGAAACTTTTTTCTATGACCGGCATACAGGCTTTGGAAACCAGATAGAAGAAGTGCATAGAGTTAAGTGGAGATTACGTGGAAAAATAAAATTACCTTTGCTTATATTTTGTACTGTTTTCTTGCTGAGGCCGCGAACTTTTCAATCCACTCTCGTAAAAATATGAATTTATTCTCCATAATAATTGCACAGTAATAAAAATAAATGAACGTTGCCTATCACTATACGTCAAAAAGTAAGTAATACATATATAGCTCTCGTCGTCACTTATATTAAGACTGGTGAATGTCTTTTGCTTGTTCTTCATATCAGCATAAAGACGTCAGGAACAAAAACATGTTGGAAGATACAAAAGTGTATAATCTGATAAGTTTATTTGAATAAATGTATTTTAACTTTAACGTTTCTACAAAACTGTTTCAAACAGGTCTACACTGCTGACGTTCCAAGACCTTCTACCGGATGACCCTCGGCTCTACGACAAAATGAGACCGCCGAAGATCAACGACCAGCCCACTATAGTCAACTTCCACGTCACCGTCATGGGTTTGGATTCTATTGATGAAAACTCCATGGTGAGTGAAGATAAACAAAATATCTTACACTAGTAGTTTATATAATTTACGCGGACGGAGAAACAGCGTATAATGTGGCTTCTTGTAAGAGAATGAATTTTTAAAATCGGTCCGGTAGTTTCGGAACCTATTCGATGCAAAACGGCAATGTAGGTATGTTTCATTTTATGTATGTTCACCAATTTTTCCGCCAAATGGGGAAGTATTTAAAAAAAAAACATTAGTTCCCAAAATCAGACTAGGCTGTGCTCCCGAAATCAACTGTGGCTACGATATTTTCTTAATTTTTTCTATAACAACCCTTTGGTTTTCTTTCATGTATAAAAGTAAATTAATTATCAAAACTCATAAACAACTCATTTGTACTTTTTCGTATTTGTATTAATATCTATGTTTCAAACTTTGCATATATCAGTTTTATTGTATGTTAGTTAAAAGGAACGGAAATGACTATCTTTAGTCCATTCGTTTCTTGCAAAAATCAATTTTTGTTAGAGTCGCTAACAAAACAAAATATGCTTTTTATCAGATAATAATAAATATTTTGATGACATATTCATATCAGCAAAAAAAATTCGAAAGGAAGATACGACAAATTTCTATTTAAGTAGGTATGTTCATCGATTTCTTCTTGAAATAGCTGTGTCCTCCCAAAATCGCCCGTGTAAAATTATAACCTATGTCCCCCGCGTATTATGTATCTTCTAATAGGCGAAATAATTTTATAGTCGGTCCAATAAACTTTCGGATCCTTTACAATGCAAACAATCAAATCTTTCTTGTCATATGAATATAGATTAAAAAATTATGTCAAGCAAATAAACAAAATCTCCTTTCCTAAGATTGTCACTATGATGCAAATTTAATATTTTAGTGTTACATGTCGTAATTTAAAAATATTAATATCATTAAAAAGCATGAAATAAAAACTTTTTTCAGAAAATAGAACTAACTTCAAACCTTAATAAAATGATGTATAATTAGTTAATATGAATAAAAACATAACTAATCTCTTGTTGACAGACCTACGCTGCTGATATATTTTTTGCGCAAACTTGGAAAGATTTTCGTCTACGTCTACCGGAAAACATGACGTCAGAGTACAGGTAATTATATAAATAACTCATTTAGAGAAATTTTAAAATATGATCAGGGTTTAGGATTAAAAATTATGTATTTCTTAGGCTGTCCCTGTAGCGAAACCTGCATGTTAGTAGCTACCATTGTAAATGATGGTTGGTTTGATTTTATATTTTCTTTTTCAAGATGCCGAGTCGGAGAAATTTTGCAGTTGCGTGTATAGTTTTGTATAGACTATACACGCAACTGCAAAATTTCTCCAGTTGACTCTAAACTCTACCTTCAAATCATTAAAATTAAATTTCATTTCAAACGGTTTAGATTTGAAGGATAGACAGATAAACAATCAATACAAGGGTTTATTCCACAGAACACGGAAAAGAGGTTAGAAAGGCGATCATGCATCCTTTGTACGAAAACCGATGTCGCCAGTCTTGCCCCACTTTTAGTCCGCCGTACATCAGACGAAATATTAGACCAATTATACAAAAGATATGCACACACTTGCATTTTAAACATGCCAATCAGAACGCTCCAATATTACTATAACAAATCACGTTCAACCATAACATACATCTATAGTGCGTAATAAACGTGTAAAAGGCATTTTAATTTGACATATCACACTAGTGATTGACATGAAGTTTATTAACTATCGATATTGAAAAACAACAAGTCGATTAATTGAAAGGATACTAGAGTTATGATTTCTTTATATTATTTTGGATATACATTAAATTGTATATGTTTGTTAACACACCAAGAATCGATTAAATTTTTCCAGGCACTTCACTACCCATCTACCGTAATCTATTATGTTGCTATTAAAACGGTGATATCGCGATGTTCTTTACATTACGTACGTAGTACTACGCAATGTAATAAATATGCGCACTTCTCCAGGAATGTATATTTTTTTAGAAATATTTTTTGTGATTCACACTTTTGATAACATTTCACGAATTTCGACTAAAAATACTAAACTTGAGAAGTGTTCTACTTATTAATGGCAAGAAATCCTTCCTTTGGACCTACTTGAGGATGGGCTTATTGTTTTGCAATTAATAACTGCACAAGTCGGCATTTTTAACACTTTTAGTGGTGTGTTTCACAGTACTTACAGCGCGCGCGTTCGTTAATGACTAAACATCGCGAATCGCGTGGTGAAGTCACGATCCTGTACATTTGTCCAGGATGGTGGCTACACGGCCACTCCCACTAGGCCTTATTAACGTCTTTATGTGTTCTGTGGTTTATTCCCTTTTGTGATATCTAACCTTAACAGTAACCAAGTATTTATGTAGGTAATAATTCCTACTATAATTCTGCAGACTGCTTGAAGTGGACTGGCTCAAGCACATGTGGCGTCCAGACTCCTTCTTTAAGAACGCCAAGTCTGTCACCTTTCAGACGATGACGATACCCAATCATTACGTTTGGCTGTACAAGGACAAGACGATACTCTATATGGTGAAACTCACCCTGAAGCTGTCTTGTGCTATGAACTTCCTCATCTATCCTCATGATACACAGGAGTGTAAGCTGCAAATGGAGAGTTGTAAGTAAAATCATTTTAATTAATGACTAGCCATTTCTTCAGCTTATGAATTCATCTAGGCGCATTTCGAAACTAAAGCAAAGAGAATTTAAAAAAGCTTTTAAAGGAATTACAATATCTGTGTCCTTATTTACTCATTTACAAGATTTCTATAATACAAGTGATGTGACCAATATTCCTATGTGATAAATTATATTTGTATTTCCATCACACCATGTGATAATAAATTGAATTATAGATATATTTCATAAGTCTAGCATTGATTAAGTTTTCTATCATTTTTGATATAGAGGTTAAGACTGAAGTTGGCCAATAGTTATTTATATCATCACCATCCCCTACTGTGTGGGAAATCACCATTTTTGAAGCAAGTGTTAGCTACATGGGTGATAATGATTGGTACTTCTTCGTCCTTTGCGAACTTAAGATATTTTGTTGGAATATTATTCCAACCCGGGGCACTGTCAGTGTTTAAACTTATAACAATATAGAATGAACTTCTTCGCAGTCCGCATCAAACAGTACAAAATATTGTGAATGCTCGTCATTTGAAATTTTTTCAAAGTTTTTTATTACTCTTATTTAAATTATCGTTTGCCAGTAGTTTACCGATTCCAGTAAAAAATATATATAATTGACAGAGTTTTTTAGACAAGATTTCAACATTTTTGTAAACAAAATTATAATACCTACAGTCGCCAAAGCTGATTATTTTATCATGAATTCAGTGTTGCTCCCATAGTAAAAGTTATTCAGTATTTTAGCTCATACACACCACGGAGTCCTGGCACATATCAATATTACACCTTGTATTAAAATAATTTTGTCTTTTATTCCGTTCATATATGCATTTGTTTCCTTTTAGTATATTGCAAAGGGTTAACTATCTCTTAAGGATCTTTATCATTTATTATCGTGTGGTGTTTATTCATTGATAAGATTAAAATATGCAAATTTCTTTCTAAGCGGACTTTACATGTGTTTTTATTTTTCTAAAGCAGCGTGGCAATTAGTATTCAAAATATATGCAGTTGCGCAATGTATGGAAAAGATGAAAGTTATATAGTCTATAATTGATTCTACAAAATAAATACTAAATGAGCATGACCTATATACGAATAATACATTTTGTGTGTCAGATACTTTTTTATGTAGTAGTTGTACCGCCGAAGCAACTGTGTGTAATATATTGTCTGAGAGAGGAATATAGTATTCTATTTACAATGAGATTCATTATACAAAATGAAGAATCCCATAACAAAAAATATATTCGAATGTAATTTGGAACAAGAGTCGAACCTAATTTGTTTATATTACAGTCAGAATAGACGACTTCTGTAATATTTTAAAGTACCCTCTTACTTTCTTTTTTTCAAATTTATATGTTAATGAAAATATAATACACGTTTCAGGTATTACATCTATACAACCAAGAAATTTTGTTTTATAGGTCACAGACTCTTTATTAATAGTTATGCTAAGGTGTGGCAAGATTCTTTTATGAGACTGATAATAAATATAATACAAACACACGAGTATCTGATTTGTGTATCGAAACGCCAATTGAGCTTGACAAGTTAAACACCATCTGTACTTTAATAAACAAGGTTAAGCGTCATAATAAATTTATGCTTAAATTGCAATTTTAGTATTAGTCCAAATTCATGTTATACAGAGAGTAAGCAAACTTACTACCTTCTAGGTGTAAATAGTACTCCAATACAACCTCGTACTAGGTTATCCTTTGCTAAGTCTCTGTTTAATAATATGAATTTTGACAAATACTAAGTGCAGTCTCAGTATAATTTACTCCAACGCTAAACATTGATTATTAAAAAAACTGCATATTTATTAAGTCTTCTGTCGTTTCGTTGGTTTTTTGGCACGTTCTTTATCTGTGTGTTCCGCAAGGCAGTGTAGGGGGACCTGTGCTGTTCTTAATATACATAAATGACCTATGTAACACAAAATAAATAATGCTCATAAATTTTCCTATGTAGATGATACTGCAGTAATCTTTGAAGGTTCTTCCTGGGGCTCCTTTCGAATCGAAGTAGAAATGGGAATGAATAATTATAGAAATTATAATGATATGAGATATGGTAGAAATAACAATAATATTAAATATATTAAAAATAGAATGTGGAATTTGTACATGTTCCAAAATCACGAAGGTTAGTAAAACAAGATACCTTAGATTAGACGAAAATCTGTGATGGCACAATCAAATTGAACAAATTTTAAGCTGGGTTAGAAAATTTATATGGATATTTAAAACCCTAAGGCATGTGGTTCCTACATCTGTAATTTCACAATTTACATAAAATAACAATATAGAAAAAATCTCTTGTATATCATTTATTTCCAATTAGTATAGTCTGTACTGATGTACTGCATTGCTGTTTGGGGTGGAGCTATTAAAACAAAATTCTTAGCATTAGAAAGGTCTCAAAGGTATTTTACACAGCGAAGATTCCCTACAGAAGGATTGTGTGCGATATGTCATTATCCTTTCAATGAGAAAAATGAAATTTTTACTCAAATTAAATTAGATTACTGAATTATATCCCTAAAAAACAAAATAAAAGAAAGAAAAATGTAGTTGTTCGTGCAAAAGCGGCAAATACAGTATTTGCAAGCCGTCAATTTCATGAGTTATCGCTTATACAATAATACGAGTATAAATAATATAATTATTATATACACATAATACTAAAGAAGTTCTAATTAAAATCTTTAAATTATAATGATATTGAAAACATACAGCAATACTTGTATTGACTAAAACAGTCTCTTGTTATACCGTTTTATCTACTTAAAGCTATAATTTAACCAAAAATAAAGACAAAGATATACACATTCACATACGCACGCACACATATGCATGCTTTAATTATATATATATTTTCATTCAATGAAAACGAAAACAAATGTAATAAACGAAATGCTGAATGCACTATGAACGAGCGGACTATTTCTGGTACAGATACTATTTATTATATCTGAAATAGTCCATTACAAATGTTTACAACATTCTTAATATATTTTGAGTTCTTTTTTTTATTTTGATTTAACCTAATCAAGCAAGTCGACTTATACACAATATAGTGTATTATCGACACGACAGAAGTCGGAAACTCGATAGAACAAATAAACATTATTAATTAGGACACAGAAACTTATATAATTACATAGATAATAGAGTTACTTCGAGTATATTATGAATAGTTTTCCACCCTGATCAAATGACGACGCATCAGGAGCCAACCTTTTTATAGCTAAATAATATAAAAAGTTTTTTCCTAATTTACCTTGTTTAGATATTTCTTCTGACTTAGTTTATTGAGATAGGATATTGTGACTCTAGTTATCTACAATAAATATTATAAGGGTTAAGTACCTGAATGTCAAAGTCAATAAAACCTTACAAATATAGAACCGACTTGAAACTTTAAAAAAGTGGTAAATAATACTTATAACAAAGGCGACTTATTCAAGAAAATGCTATTGAAATCGGGCGAAGGTCTTTTGTAGGTTTATTAATTAATAAGAGGCGTCCGATTTCAATAGCATTTTCTTGAATAAATCTCTTTTGATGTAAGTATTATATCTCACTTTTACTTATTATTCATCACTTTTTTAAAGTTTAAAATGGTTCTATATTGATATATTTTATAATTGGCAACCCTGCTATAAAAATATTAAATACTAGCTTTCCGCCAGCGGCTTCGCCCGCATGGTCCCTAGGGCACTGTTAAATTAGATATCGATTCATATCATAATACGATGACACGTACATAATTACAATGACAAATTTAATAGTAAACAGTAGTTACTATGGCAACGTTATCATTCCCTATATAAACTTCCACTCCCATTATCATCCCTTTATTTGCTGTTTGTTGGGATAGAAATACCGCATATGATGTAACTTCAAGTAGGTGAAAGAAGTTTAAAATCGGTCCAGTAGTTTCGAATCCTATTCGTTGCAAACAAACAAACTAATTAATCAAATCTTTCCTCTTTATAACATTTAGAAACTATTAAAAGTCTTTCGTCTACGGGAAGCTAGATAATATGCGTTGGAAACAGCTAGTTTGATAGAAATTGGTTCATAATACAAGATGAAATCGATTAACATATCTACTTAAAAAAATGTACATATACCTTGAACATAGAAAATTCACCTTTCGGATTTTGAATGAATTCCAAATACGCATACTTTTGTTTTTTTAGCTGGAATTCTTACCATATTAACTAAATATTTCGGTGATATTTGGTGAAAAGTGTTATAAAAGGAAAACTATTGATTCGATTTCGATAAAATTTAAATGAGACGACCTCGATCCATTAAGCTGTCGAATAAAAAAAAATAAAAAATCGGCCTACAATTAACGGAAATATCGTCGAACATAGATAAAAAAAAATACATTGCTGTCGAACATATAACCTCCTCCTTCTGGATTTTGAAGTCTGTTAAAAAATATCTTTATTCAAATAAACTCATAAAAATTGCTCTTGAATCGTCCAACATTTTGTTTACATATAACCTCAATTCAGGACATCTATGCGTGTTTTGGCTGATAGAAGAACAAAAAGCAAGTATTTCAGTCTAATACTTGATTGTCATTATACAAAAAGATTATAAATGATTACGACAACACATGATAGTGAATATACTTGAATTTAAAAGGTAACTCTTCATTTTATTTCTTTAAAGAAAATTTAAGAGATTCGCTGTTTGGTTAGATTAGAAGTCAAAGTAATCTTTATTCAAATAGATTTCTTAAAAGTACTTTTGAATCGTCCAACATTCTTTTGCCTACCACTCGTTCAGGACGTCTTTTGGTTGATAAGAAGAACGAGCAAGAAACACACCAACTCTAATAGGAGTAATGACATTCACAAAAACCATATCATTACCAGATCAATACATTATAAATAGAAGAGAAAAAACTATGGTCTTTTAACGATAACATAATCATTTAATAATAAAGGAA